GGGCCAGGATGTGCTTCACCTCTCTTCCTCCCCCTTCATTTGCTCCCATGTGCTCTGATCAGACATGTCCCTCTCCCTAAGCTGCAGCTTCAGTGCTGTCCTGTAAAATAAGTTCTTCTGTGGGCAGCAGCAGCTATCCACGTAGTTGGGATTGGTGCCGGCCCCTCAGACCTCTCCACTGGTTCCCTACTCCATGCAGGCATGTTGCATTCACATCTTGGAGCACTGCGTTGAAGTCTGGTCCCTTAATTCCCTGTAGAGATATAAACAGTACCCTCCTCTTGGGTGGGTCAGTGTATATTTTTTCTTATGATGACATTTACCCTCTGATATATTTTCCCTGCTGTTAGAATTGTTTAGAAATAGAATTATGACAGATTTTGCCTCATGTTAGGCTTAGATGCAGGTCTTGAAAGGGGGCCTGTTAAGACAATCAAGGACATAGTGTCAGTCTTTATCTTTTAGGAGAAAGGGCTAGATTTAGTGCAGGAAAACAATCACTGCTCTGCATTAGACTCCTTAAGCTCATGTTATTTCAGAATTATGTTTGCTATTTTAATATTTGCAAGTCTGAAGTTTTCTTGGCTCTTTCCATATGCTTATTTGGTGGTACCATCAGTATGATTCCCTGTTTCCCCCCACCCCTGTGCCTTCTACATTTCTTCCTGTAGAGAGACTTCCTACCTGAAGCATGTTTTGTCACACAACTTTAATACCATACATTTTAACTGTTAACAGCTCAACAAATGCGTACTCCTCACCATACCCCCACGTGGATATTCCCCAGAGATCACTCTCCCTGGGCTCTGTCCAGGTGGCATGGAGTCCGAGCACACAGGAAACAGCCCTCTAAAACCCCATTCTGAATCGAAGTTCTTTGCTGTTGAGTTAGACTTGTTTTCTACTTTTTTGCAGAATGCTCAGAATTTCAAATATTATTAAGAGCAATCTCAAATCTACATCTTTAACCACAATGAGGAAAAGAAAGGGCCTCTCTTCCAGTTTGGTGTTTGTTTTTTAATCCTTCATTTTTTGGTCTGGTGAGTTGAATGCTTAAAAGACATCAACATTTAAATTCCCATGCTGCAGGTCATCACTTTAAAGAATAAACGATGAAATTCCTGTAATTGCTTAAACTTATTGATTCCCTTTTCCCATGAACTTAGTGCGTGTCCTTATT